CCCCCGCCATCATTGAAGAAGCTGTTTGAGATTTTCCATATGGCGAGGCCCCCGCCCGTCTTAGACCACACCGCGGGGGGGGGGGGTGGGCTCTTGCCAACACAATACAACAAAACACGCACAGGCACACAAGCGCACACACACACACACACACACACACACACACACACACACACACACACGCTCACACACACACACACGCACACACACACACACACACACACACACACACACACACACACACACACACACACACACACACACACACACACACCAGCGCTCACCCACGTGCACCAGCCCTTCCCCTCCTGGACCAGGTGCGAGAGGCGGGCACAAACTACCCTCCCGCCGTGTACGACCCCGCGGAGCTCACAAAGGAGGATAACTACGAGAGGCGCCGACCCGGCGGGAGATGCGCCGACATCGCGAGCCACGCTGCCCCCACACGCCCCCCACCCCAGCGCGCCGCACACCACGCGCCGCCTCACCTCCCCTCCCCTCCCCCCCTCCCCCCTCCCCTTCTAGGATCGAGGCGCGGAGGCGCGAGTGGGAGGAGAGGCAGTCGCGCAAGCAAGGCGCACCCCACCCCTCGAGAAGGAAGCAGCGGACTCCTGTCGCCCCGCACACCAGCCGCTGCATTCAGTAGCCCTTGTCTGTGCACTCCCATTGCACGCTCCCGCATTCTCACGCTCTCTGACTGTGGTGTCTTTTGCGCGCTAGGTGCGCCTGTGAGCTTCAGCTCGGGTGGCACGCTCGCGCCGCCCGCCGCCGCGGCGCCGCCCGCAGAGGCGAGGCCGAGAAAGAGCAAGTGGGGCGATCGAGAGTAGATCCAATGTCCGCGCCTGAGCACTTCACGGTGTTTTTCCGCTTCTCTGAGACGCCCTAGCCTCCAACAACGCCTCCCCGGCGCAGAGGGCCCCCCGGAGGGATGCACAACCGCTCCACGCCACGCCGCTTGCGGCGCCCGGCGGCGCCTATAAAAAAGCGTGTCGCCCAGCGCCGCTGGTTATTCGCTTCTCTGCCAGGGTTCCGGCTCCTACCCGGATAGGGGGTCTGTCCCCACCCGTTAGACCCTGTGCAATAGGTAGATAGGTCCGGTTTTGACCGCCCCAGAGGGGCCCGCAATAGGTAGGTTGGTAGTGGTGGTGTGCGTGTGGGGGGGGCGCGGGGGGGGGGGGGGGGACCCGAAAAGAGGAGTGGGAAAACCGCTTCCGCTCGCGCGGGCGGGAAACGGCGCGTTTAGCCCCGAACGGGGCCATGCCAGACGAGTCGCCTGCGGTTGGGACGCCAGCCGAGACGGGTGCGGCGGGCGCTGGGAGCCTATTCACAGAGGGCTCAACGGGTATTTTTCGCTTCGTTCGCAGCGCGGCCTGGGAATAGGTAGGTAGGTGGGGCACGGAGCCTGGCGGTTGGCGCCCGCAATAGGTAGGTAGGTAGGGCGTTTTGGCGCGAGTCAGTGCGGCAGACCCCCTATCCGGGTAGGAGCCGGAACCCACAGCCAGACGCCGGTCACATCAACAAGTCCGCTCTCTCTTGCCAATCGCCCCAAATGGGCGACTACCAATCCTTCGACGACATGCCGTCCTTGGCGCCTCTCCAGATCACGCCGCAGATGATGGCACAGGCGCAGCAGCGGGCGAGTGAGGCGCCGGCGCCGGCGCCGTGGGCACCGCCACCGCAGCAGCATGTGGTTGCGCCGCCGATGCCAGCTGACGACGGCGGCGACCAGCTCGACTCTCTGGCGCAGATGTTTCCCGACTACGACCGCGACGTCCTCGCCTCCATCCTGGCTACCTGCGGCGGAGGGATCGAGGAGGCGATCCAGCAGCTGCTCGAGATGTCGGGTGGCGGCGGCGGCGGCGGCGGCGGCGGCGGCGGCGGCGGCGGCGAGTACGACTCGGACGAGGCGATGGCGATGGCGCTCTTCAAGCAGTTTGCAGACGACCTGGTCCAACAGCTCGGCCGGCCGGTTCCGCCGGAGGTGCGTGACGACCCGGTCAAGTACGAGGCATTCATCCGCGAGCAGTTTGAGCGCGAGCTCGGCAACAGCGACTCGCGCCTCGCCAGCCAGGCGCTGGCCATGTACGAGTCGCAGGGGCCCCGCGGCGGCGGCGGCGGCGGCGGCGGCAAACCGGCGGACAAGGAGGGTTTCCTCGAGCGCATGCGCAAGAACTTTGAGAGCCGCAGGCGGCACGGCGTCGAGGCGGACGGGGGGAGCGCATCTGACATCAGATTAGATCCCCCTACATGATAGGCAGCACGCCGTCAAGGTGGACGGGGGTGCGCAGCCTTTGCTCCTCGCCGACCACGACGGCAGCAGCTCGAGCGCGCAGGAGCCGCACGCCCCTTTCCCCCCCCCCCCCCCCTTCCCGGCCCCCTCTTCTTCTTTCCCTTTTTTGCGGCCCGATGCCTCTCTGCAGCCCTCTGCCTCTCTCTCTGCGCCGAAGCGGGCGAAGTGGCCTCCACGCCCGCCCGCCCGCCCACCCCCTCCCTTCACCCCGCGCAGGACAGCGTCCAGCACGCGCGGACGTAGGGCTCGCATTTTCGACCCTGGGGAGGCCGCGCTGCCGGCGGAGCACTGGTGCTGGTGCTGTGGCGTGCTGTCGCCGTGTCGGGAACGTCTCTTCCTGGTCTCTGCCCGCGGGCATGCCTGAGGCGTGAGGGCGACGCGTCTCGCTGAAGGGCGGGCAAGCAGCAGCAGCCTTGGCGCGCGGTCAGGAGGGGCGTGGCCATTGGGGAGGGGGGGAGGAGGGGGATCCGACCCAGGAGCTTGTGGTTGAACTATTGTGCGCTCGTGGTTCGAAATGCTATGTGTTGATGCCTGTGGATGGTCTCTCAGGGACGTGGGAGGCGCACCCTTCACCGTGGTGATTTTATTAATATATTCCAGAGACTCCTCAGCGCTCAGTCAGAGTACGACGTCGCTGTTTTTTTGAGAGACTTGCGTTTCTTTCGCGGTTCGTGAGGGTGAGGGGACACGGATTGAAGATCCCTCACACCAAGATCGTGCAGGGCGGGGACACATGTCCCTAAATCCCATCTCGTCTCAGAGTTTGCCCGTTTTATTTATTTATTTCGGTTCGTGAGAAGAGAGAACATGTGTACGTAAGGACTAAGAAAAGAAAAGAAAACAAAAAACTCGCATGCACAAAGACAGACACTCGTTGTCTACTACCGGCTCCTGACCTGGCAGCTCTAATGACCAGGATCAGTAGTGCTATAATAGAGGGTGCCCATACTAGCGCAGGAGCTGCCACACTCGCCCGGACCGTCCCGTTCTGGGGCCGGTTCCGCAGCCCGAGAGCCGACAGCGGGGCCGTGCCGCGGGTGCCTACTGCCGAGTGCCACAAACACTGCGCCGTCCCGCCATCACCTACAGGCTGTCTTGTGTGATGGTTGGGATGTCCAAACGCCACCATCTTGGCTCTTGCGACCTCAAACCCGCGAGCTGTATGGGTGGTCCTGACGTCGACAGACGCCCGATGACCACGGTGAAGCTGAGCCGTAACGAGTCGACAAGTCTCGTCTGAGCCCGTGGCGGTCGCCGGCTGAGTCGCTGTGCACGGGCCGGTACCTCAGGCGTCACCTCCGCAGCCTCAGGTCTCACACTCCATCATCTCCGCCGGGACGCCTTCGATGGCACGCTCGGCGGCGACTTTGTTGCAGCCCCACAGCGAGCGCGGCGTCGAGCCTATTCGGTCTGGTCGGTTCGCGGCACTCGCTGGGTGCCAGGGAGTGCCGCCGACACGCGAGCGGTGCTTCCTGGCAGCGCGCGCCGGCTGTGCCGCGGGGCTGCAACAATGGAACAAACTCGAGACACGCTTTTTGGGGACATTTTCTCGACGCTTTTGGCCCATATACTCGTGCAACATCCCCCTCCATGTGTGTAGAGTGTACATAATGCCATACCCACATACATTGATCTACGCAGAGCTACCCGTTAGCACAATCATCCCCACACGACGCTGAGAACAAGAGCGCACAACAGTCAACGGCCCGGTCCCGTGGCCAGCGTTGGCTCAGCCGGAGGGAACGCTCGTCGAGGCCGAGACGCCAGGCGCGTCCTGAAGTAGCGCCGCGCCCGTCTTGAGCCACTCGCTCACCTACGGGCGACAACCCCGTCATCCCGCGCCGCGCAATCTCGGCGAATCTAGCTGCGCGCTGCTAGTCTCGGCGAGTCTCGGCGAGTCTCGGCGAATCTCGGCGAATCTCGGCGAGTCTCGCGTGCGCACCGCGGAGAGCTGCTGCTGCCAGTGCGCCATCTCCTCGCGCGCCGCCGCCTCGTCCTGCGCGCCGTCCGTCTGAGTCGCAGCCTGCTCGCACCACCAACTGTGAAGAGAGATGCCGCTCACACCACCTCCTTGGCGCCGTCGGAGTCGCAGCCGCCTCGCCCTGCCGCCCGCCCGCGCCGCCGGCCGCGCCGCCGCCGGCCGCGGCGGCGGGAAGGGCGGCGGCCGCCGCAGCCACAGCACGCAGCTGCTCCTTGAGCTCTGCGAGCTCGTGCCTGTGCCATGCGCGCGCACACACACACCAGTCAGTCAGGGCGGCACGGCGAGTGTGCTGCTCGTGCAGGTCCGAGCAGCGCGAGACTACGCGCGCGCGTGCGAGCGAGCGAGCGAGCGAGCGCGGCGGGCTGCAGGCTGAGCCCGTGTGTCCTCTCGAGAGCTAGTCGGAGTGCACGGCTCCGTGCAGGCAGCGTCTAGGCACACACGCCGCAGCGATGCGTTCTCTTCGGCGAGGCCTCCCAGGTTGGTCCGCAGCTCCGAGACGGCTCGCTTGGAGGAGGTTGTCGCGCGCAGCAGCTGGTCGCGCAGCTGGTCTCGCTCCTACAATCTCGGGGCAATCTCGGGGCAATCTCGGGTCATCTCGAGTCATCTCGGGCCATCTCGGGCCATCTCGAGTATGATCTCGGGTCACCTCGAGTATGATCTCGGGTGTGATCTCGGGTGTTCTCTCTCCTGCTCGAGGAGGAAGAGCCGCTTCTGGCTCTTGCCCTGCGTCTCCTTGAGCGATCGGACCTCCGACTCCCACCTGCTCACAGGCAAGGCGGTACGTCGTGCCTGTCGATGGAGTCCCACCCGACACTCCGCCCCCCACCGGCGCGACGTTGCCTCTTGCGCGGTGCGGACCTAACGGAGCGAGGCGTGCGGCGGATCACATCCACGCGCGCCTGGCAAGCAGGGGCGCCCTTTCCACCCCCACGTCCAGCTTCCACGGCGTGGAAAGTGGGAGAGGCCAAGTGCGGGCGCGGACCTCGTCCGCCACGACCTGGAAGCAGTTTGAGGCCGACAGGCAGTCGGCGCGCGCCCGCTCGAGGGCGGCCTCAAACTTTGCCGTGTAGGACTTGTCGAGCTCCGAGAGCACCGAGAGGAGCACGCGGTCCTCGGACACGTCTGCGGCGCCGATTCGGTAGACGAGCGTGCCCGTCTCGAGGCTGGCCGCTGGCGTCGCGCACCGGAAGGTGAGGTGCTCGGCGCGCAGCTTGACGGGGAAGCGAGCGAGGAAGGCGAGCCGCAGCGCGTCCTCCTCGATGTCGGACGCCCGCTTCCAGCCAGGCTGCAGCCGGAGGGCAAAAGAGAGTTTTGGCGTGACGAGGACCTGTCGGAGAGGGGCGGGCTCAGTGTGCAGAGGCGTCGAGCCTGGCTGCTGGCAGGGCGACCGCACGTTGATGAGGCGCGGCTCGGCATCGCCGGCGGTGCCACCCGTGTTGACTGGCCCAGCAGGCGCTATGTGGGCGGGCGCGTCGTTCACAGAAGACGAAGCGCGCCGCTCGCGCTCGGCGGTGGCATGCTGCATTTCGGAATCAGAAGAAAATCGAGCAGGGCTCTCTAGCCCGTAACCCGATCCCGAGCGTCCGGCCAACTGGGTGCGCTTCTCAGCTCCCCGGTCCTGGACGTGAGGTTACTGACCGCACTCCAAGTGCTCCAAGAGCACGCAGACACATCGGATAGAAAACTAAGGGCGTACGCCCTTAAGAAAACAAGAACACAGCGCACTCTCTCGCATGACAAGCGATCCCACGATTGCGAAGGTTAAGCAACTAAACGCCCGGCCAGCCGTACAGAGCGCCCGATACCTCACCCCGGCGGCCACGCCTCGACCTTCTTGGGCAGCAGTTGGTTCGACAGCTCCTCTCCGTGGCCTAGGCAGCCGCGTTCACCCTTGCCCCACGCAAAGGCCTCGAGCTTCTTCGGTTGCCACTGGTTCTGCTCGTCGCCGTGGCCTAGCCGGCCTGAGGCTCCCCAGCCCCAGCTCCAGACAGCACCGTCGGCGGTGATGGCGAGGCTGTGGTAGGCCCCAGCCGACACAGCGACGACGCGCTGGCCAGTCAAAGCCTCAACCTTCTTCGGCAGCAGCTGGCTCTGCTCGTCGCCGTGGCCCAACCTGAGTAGATGCCACGGCCCCAGCAGACGGCGCCATTGGCGGTGAGGGCGAGGCTGTAGTCGCGCCCTGCCGACACAGCGACGACGCGCGGGCCAAAGGCTTCGATCTTCTTCGGTAGCAGCTGGTGCTGCTGGTCGCCGTGGCCCAGCTGGACAAAGCCTCCCCGCCCCAGCTCCAGACAGTGCCGTCGGCGGTGAGGCCCAGACTGTGGTACTCTCCAGCCGA